TTGAGAGCACTAGTCAAATCATCCCAGTTGCGTATGGTTCCTTTTACAGCTCGATACCATATTAACGCATCGCCTTTGAACAATTGAGAAGCTGATTCGAATACTTGCTCTTTAGAAAGATTCCATGCTTGACGGAGTTCTTCTATCCTCTCTAAGAAATTTGGCAGACTGGACTGTCCATCGAAGGTCAGATTCCATTTCGCAATTATTGCTCCTTTGGGCTTTGTTAATAATTGTTGCATCTCTATCGAATCGTTGAAAAACCCAACGGGATGTGCGGTCGAAGAATGTGTAGGTCTCGCTTGTGACCGAATTGGTCTATGTACTGGACTTGAAGCGATGTTTTCCGTTATAGGGATTATTTGTTCGACGATTGGCTCATCCATGATACTGCACTGCATAACCGAAGGGCCTGAGGTGCCTGGCATCATGGGATTCATACTAGGTTGGGGTGCTGTACTCTGTGCTATTGGAATAATAGATCCGTTGTCTCCTTGCTGTAGTTGGACTTCAGCGGGATCGTACTTTTCTTCTAGATATTCAACTAAACGCATACAGTGTGTAAGGAGTTCGGACCGTAAATCAGTAAATTCGGAATTTTCGCATGCTAGTCGTTTTAATCGACCCTGTACATGCAATAGACGCGTTTGTATTCGTTTATATTCATTTTCCCTATTGGTTTGATCAAATGACTCAATGCATTGTTCCAATTCTTGTAATTTACTTGAGCATACTTGCAATTCCTTTTTATTATCTAACTTAGACAAGTTAGGGATTGGTGTTAGTGAAGAGTTTTCTAATCTTAGGCACCCTCGAAGTGCAGAGCGCTTTTCGGCTACAGTACCACTAGTCGACATATCTCTAATGGCTAATTCATAAGACAACTCATCTCCTAATAACCTATTAACCTCCATTCTAAATACTAACCTAATGTATTCCCAAAAAAAAAGAAAAATATATATACAACCTATACCTAATGTTTCCACTTGGAACGTCGAACGTCCTCTCCCCCAAAAATAACTATAAAACTAAAATTAACCTATTCCTATATTTTCACCCTTTTAAGTAGTAAAACGAACTAATTAAGTCCTAAAAAAAAATAAAAAAACAACCGTTGGGCGCCAATACCTTTTGGTAATAATGACCAATGATTAGGTCGGCCGAACCCTTGTAGGAAGCGCTTTCTACCGGTCGCACCCTGTATAATATAAATTAAGTGACAGTAGTTCGGATAGGCTGTAATTTGGAACTACAGTAGGTAATTGAGTCGGGAGAAACAACCCCGATGTTAGAATATGGGCAACAATAAACTAATCGGGATATGCGATTATGCCAGCGTTAAGGTGTTTTCGTTCTTTGTGATTCTCAGAGCGTCTTTGTGCGTCAGCAATAGCTGGGTTGACGGTACGACGAATCACCTTTACATACAAGTAAGTGACAACAACATTTGTTACACAAACTGCAGTTTGGGGCGAAGAGAATTTAATTATCACAGGAACCTGGAACGCGGTAGTAAGAAAAGGTAGGGAAGGTAACATGGAAGAAATTAGAGGGGATGGGTTAATACAATTTTGCACTAAGAATAGATTAACTAGAGATTTAGAAAACAGATAATTAGCAGCAAAAGCCACCCTGGTTCGAACATAGCTAGTGACCACAATTTAGTAGTGGTGCATAGAAGACTTAAGTTTAAGAAGTTGGCTACACCTAAGAAAGAAGGCAGGATAGATTTAGAAAAGTTAAAAGTGCGAGAATTTCTAGGTAGGGTTAAGGTCGAAAGCGACAAGATTATAGATAATAGCACAGAAACGCACAAGTGGAAGGAGGTTTGGTCAGAGATTAGATCAAGACTGAGCAAGTTAACTGGTAATGTGTTAGGAGTAGAAACAAGGATAGCCAGAAAAGAATGGGCCACAGAGGAAATTTTAGAACTAATGGACAAAAGGAGAAAATATAAAAACGCATCAAATCCGCATGGTAGGGATAAATATAAAAAATTAAAAAACAAGGTAGATAGGGAATGTAGGTTAGCAAAAGAGCAGTGGCTCGAGGGGAAATGCGAAGCAATAGAGGAGAGTTCCATAAAGGTAGGACGGACGTAGAACATAGGAAAATTAAGAGTAGTTTTAGTAAGGCAAGGCCCAAGTCCAACGTTCTGCAATGTGCAGACGGAGAAGAACCCATAGAACCTAGGGACAGAGCAGAGAGACGGAACGAGTACTTGGAACAATTATATAGGACGGAAGAACCGTTAGCAGATGCAGATGCAGTATCAACAGAATAAAATATCCAGCCGAGTGACTGTAGGCTGATTATGATCCCGAAGAAAGCAGGCGCAGAAAAATGCTAACATTTCAGGACAATTAGTTTACTGGCGCACGCATCAAAAATACTAGTTAAAATAATCTATAGGAGAATAGAGGAGAAGATCGATGTTAGACTGGCTGATCACCAGATAGTGGGTCAACTTTACTCAAATACCTTAAACTCCAAACTGAACTGCAAAATTTTGAATAACTAAAATGGACTTTGGGCAAGCATCCAACAAAAACACAGGTAAATTAGAAATGTAGTCGTTGTGAATGAAACACACGGAAATTAATGTGAAAATTACAAAAGCCATTTAATCTGAACACACAAAAGGAAAATGGTACAAAAACACAAACAATTAGAAATAGACTAAAATTGTGACGTAACTACTTACATTACTTGACCGGGAATTGAAATATCCAACCAAAAGGTATCCGTACACAGTTCACAAACGTTACAATTTTCAATTAACACAAATGACACTGTACGCTAACGAAATCGAGTAATCGCAGCATCTTCTCCTCGAGTAGACAATAACGTTCACAAAAAACTCAACTTCCAACTGGGTCACGTTGAAAACCAACTTAGGAAATATTGATAAACACCTCTGCTTGCAGCACCTTCGATGGCCAAAGCTTTACGACAATCCTTCAGCCGGTAAGACATAAAGAAAAAACGAACAAGTAGAAAATAATTAGCCGCGAATTCGGATTCCGGCTTCACAAACGAAACTTCTTCAATCTCACATTGAACGAAAACTTTTGATGGTGACTGTGGCCACAAATGAATAATAAACTGGCCGTAAACGATGGAACTAGCAAAAAGCGAGTAAATCTTTAACGAAACGTAGTTCCGCTCTCAACGTGGCAAACAGATTTAAATTCTTCAACGAAACGTAACTCGGCGCTGAACGTAGCAAAAATCTGATTTAAATTCTTCAGCTAAACGTAACTCAGTGCTAAACGTGGCAAAAAGCGACGCTTTCTTATTAACATCCTATTCAAGGCGAAACCCTTCTTCCGATAATAAAGATTACAACCAATCATACACAGTTGATACAAAACTATCCCATCAACGCACGTTATTAGGCCAACGAAAATAGAGGTCGACTATTTCTCTAAATCCATTTGTTATCAGACATTGAAAGATAAATCCAAACTTAAATTCTAGGAAAAATAAAATTTCACTCTCGTAACTACACAGAAAAGGTGATAAATCTCACCCACCTGTCTATTAAATTAAGCATTTACATTTGATAACAGATAAAGACCCAAAAAATCCCCGGAACTTTCTACGTTTAAATAAAATGTAAACAAGAACAACCTTGACCGTTTTCTCGTATAGCACAATAATCTCCATGCCGTTACATAGAGCAACGACAATTAAAAAAATTGATTAGGAAAGTTAATAACACAAAAAGAAGGCCGCCCTTGTCCGTATTAATTAGGGAAAATGTTATCCTGCCGGACGAAATAATAATTTGTAATGTTTATTATCAATTCAATGGGTAATATACCGGGTGTTACATATAAGTATGTAGTGTTGTAACAACATCACCAGTGTAAAAATTACCACGTCAAGAAAGTGTGCGTCTACACCTGCTTAGAATGGGACATACTGCAATTACACATACTTACCTTTTAAAATGTCAAAACTCTCCAGTGTGTGATTTATCTAATAATTCCATGTCTGTACAACACATATTATGTAACTGTCCAGCTCAAACCGTGCAACGTAACTTATGTGACGTACCACAAAATCTGGAGACTTGTCTCACAGACTCCCAAGGGATCAGGAGTACTTTATTATATTTAAAGCATTTTACTAGAATGTAGTCTTTCGCAAAGGTGGTTGTTACCGGAAAAAAATAATTATGTAAGGGAAATAGAGTGATAATTTCGCAACAGGGAGGGATTTTGTAGGAACAGGCCTAATGACCAATGAAGTTGATGCCCACAAGGAAAAAAAAAATATGTTACATAATGGAATGTGGTTTCTTTGATTTGTCATATTGTCTGATTCATTAACCTCTTTTGTAACACATTGAACCTAATTACTGTACAGCCCTAAACACGTTTCATTTTACGGGCTAACAAAAAGGGACGACAGGCTTGTTGAAATTTCTGAAACCTTGCCTTTGTAATAATCGTTTCATTTAAATCGCGCAAACATTACACCAACATCCATTTGATTTGAGATACAATACATGAAGTCCACCTACAATGCTAAAACAAAGCTATTGTGTGCAAGTTGGATTATAAAGGCCAAAGAGAATGTCACGTTACAAGATTTACTGAAGGGAAATATGGTTAATTAGCAGCATCCTAAGCGTATATATGGAGGAATGTTTGTATTTTAAATGATTCGGTGGAATTTATTTTTTCGATCTTTTAAATTAAATAAAATACCTTCGAAATGGGAAAATGAATGGAATCGATTATCCCAAAATGTCCTACCGTTTGTGTAACTTCAAATCCGCTTCAATCGAGCGCTAGTATATCAGATCCGAAATCTATTTTACATTGCAAGCTTAGCTTACCGAACGATCTCAAACAGTTTATATCAAGATGTGACTTTGAACAAATTCGCCTGATGCTCGTCTAACTAAACTACCGACACACTTCTGCCAAAGTCCTGGCGCGTCACGTATAATGTGCAGCTAGTTAACACAGAAGTAATGAGTAACTTACCTTCGCTCTCCGTTACGTCCTCCCCTGTATTCGGAATATCATTGAGTTTCTTGCGATATTTTCCTAAAGTTGAGAAAATATGATGTTACATTTTGTAATACGTGCGTAAATAGCGATGATTTGTAACCAAAATAAATTATTTTCTTGCATGTTTACATGACATTCCTAACTGAAATCCATTCTAGCAACTCAGAAGTGTAGAATCGTGCCGTTAATCGTGACAGCCTGCGCCATGCTGATCATGAGAAAATTAATCATACGTAGCCAACTTAAAAATAATTTGTAATCAAGCGGTAACGGTTATTAACTCTAAAATCAATATAAGCACCTACAATTAATTGAGTGTCTGATTTGCAGCGTTTTTCTTTTATTAATTGTAGCGCTAAAAGTAAGATTTACGGCGAGAAATAATTAATAACTGGATAAATGATTGTTGGGAACATCACATCGTGAAGAGGAATCAAGTATAATTTATTAGCTTAGTGAGCACTAAAGATGTGGTAATATTAATCATACCCCAAAGCTGTTGTGCCCTTTCACGAATTTGTAACAATAGCGTCAAAAATAAACTTGTAACTTACCCTTGCGCGGTGATCCTTTTGATTTATAGGTGTTTGAGGGCTTAGGGATAGCTGTAAAAGAAAATTTGTTTTGATTATTCTTATTGTCACTCTTTGTATTAATGTTTTTAATAAAACTCATCGGTGAGAGAAAATGTTATTTGAAATGGAATAGTGAACAATTGGGACTATTTTAGTAGAAATTGTCGTCGTTTTAGTGCTAGTTTTAAAACTTTTATTCATATAACAGCAATATATTGTTGTGAGACCTAACCTTAACTTCTGGAAATCCCACGATTTACCTCTAGCTAGCTCAGTAGTAAAAAAAAATGAAAACAAAATTTTTTATCTGTATCTCAAGGTCCAGCTGGATTCTGCCACCCTACAGCATTCCAACAATGACATAAATCGGTGGCTTACCCAAATCCTTAAATTCCAATATGAAACTTTACCCCCAGATTTAAACAACTTGAAACAACGTAAGAGACGCCGACAATTACTTCTCCTTGACTCTAATAAACAAAACCTGGATTGCAATGACTGGTTTAATTTCAAACAAAAAATTGCGTAAATTTCCGTTTTACAAATCTTTACAATTTTAAACAAATAAATGACACACACAAAAAAAAAAACAAATTACTCAAACATTACAAAAAAAAAACACGACAAAACAAACCACTAAACTACTACTTACATTTAAAATTAGTCCGAAAAAAAAACGTAATCCGATAAACAGAGGTAAACCGTACACAAACACGTGAACCAACCACTCAAACACCGACGTCTTCTCTCTTCGGGTACCCACAAATTATATTTAAAACTTCCGTGTTTCCGCAAAATAACAAAAAAAAACAGGACGACGACAAACTTCTTAAACTTCTCAATAAATTCTTCTCAAAACGGCAGACACAAAATTCTAATTAAACCTGGATCCAACTACGCAGGAAAACTTCCACACAATTCAAAAATAACGTAACCGAAGAAACGCCGGTTGGCTTTGTAACGACAAAAAAGCCCCGCTCTCATCAAAAATTTTCTATTTAAGCCAAAAGCCCTTCTCCTTTCTTCAACATCCCGTCCGCCAATCACGCGAAGCGTCGATTTTTCAACTTCTTGCTAAACGGCACGTACGTCCGGCAATTCTGCGAAGACAACCTTATCTCTACTTCGCGCTATACCTCGTTAACGGCAAATAAAATTTAAAAAGAAATTTACATCGAAAAAATTCTAGGAATAAAATAAAAACAGAACACTTCTAAGAAATTGAACCAAAACTATAACATGAAATTTACGCAATCCTGTGTCTCAAATTATTAATAACCCCCCCGGTTAATTAAATGAACTAAACAAAATTGTCACATCCAGACGCTCTATAATTTCCTTCAAGTTACAACTAAAACAAAATAACACAACATTTTCCCCCTTTAAATTGAACACAAAAACACAAAATTACAATCCTCCCCTGACTATGAAAACAAAACAAAATATTGGAATTACAGGGTTTTTTTTTTTTCAATTTACCAATTAACTTTAAAAGAAACTTCGGGACCTGCTTTAGGTATTCGGACACGATCGCCTAACACAGCTCCCTAGTCATTACTGAAACCCCGCACGGTGACGTCACCAGCTGAGCCTGAGAAATTTCATCAACATAGTATAAAAAATTTAAGAACTACCACTAATTTACTAATCTCTCCAACCCTTAGCTAACTATTCAAATGCCGGATAGATCGAACCATCTTCGGCGTTGTTTCAACCTAGGTCCGACCTATTCCAGCAGTTAACCTAACCTATCATCCCTAATCTAATCTTAATCAAAGTCAAAAATCTCGCACTGTACTGTCAACCAAATACGCCTGGGAACCATCCCTATCATTCCTAATCTTTTTCCTAAACTTTTT